CCCGCCCAGGGTCAAGGATCTGGAAGGGGCTGACTGCCGCTGGGAGCCATGACCTCTCGCCTGTCCGGGCTGAGGGCGCAGCGTCCAGTGAAGCTTACAGTTCCTCAAACTACTCTCTAGCCAAAACAAACAAGGGAAAATGAAAGCCCAGGTTGGAATGAGTACGCATCGCGCCTACGATAAAGCCAGTTTATCTAATCATCTACTCTCGACTCTGTCGGATTTTGTTCTTTAGTCTGTAATCCAGGGTCTATATTGGCCCAGTTTGAAGAACCCAGCAGATACACACAGCGCAAGCATGTTTGTCCACTTGACTACAAGGTTTTTTTCCCAAAACATTTCCAAATTCATATGCCTTGTCCCATTTTCCTGCTAAATATAGTCCGATTTGTGAAGCCAACAGTTGATTTTTTTTTCCTATCAAGAAAGGTCACTGTAGTCATGCCGTCAAACCTAAAATAAATTTTCTACATTCTCCAGATTTGAAGATGGAGTTTTCTTCATCCAACTCCATCACCCATAATCCATTATCTCCCTTTAAATCCTCAGAGAATCCCGTTTTCCCACCTCACCAGCTCTCTCCACTCCCACCGCTATCCCCATCTCCTACAAAATACATAAATAAAAGACTAATGAATTCTGTTTACCTGTCTACACCAGCATACGCCACTGGTCAAGGATAAGGGTCACCTTGGGTACTTGATTCCAAGCAAAGAAATACTACCAGGTCAGGGATGGATTCTGAAGAGAGTTCTGCATAGGGAGAATATAAGAGGAAAAGAGCAGTCTCACTGTACCTGGACTATGCTCAAAGTTCTATATGGGCAGCTTACTTGTTGAAGAGATTGTAAAAAAAGAAGAAAAGTAAAAAGAAAAGAGTGATAAGTAGCAATTCCTGGGTGGGAATAAGGAGCCCTGATAGCATAGTGAGCTACCTACTGAGCTGCTAATAACAAGGTCAGCAGTTCAAATCCACAAGTCATTGCTCAAGAGAAAGATGAGGCTATCTGCTCTCAAAGATTTCTAGCGTTTGAAACCCAAAGGGCAATTCTACCCTGACTTATGGGGTCACTCTGATCGACTCAATGGCAGTGAGTTTGGTGTTTGAGTGTTTGAGAATGCTTGAGGTCAATAACAGTCAGCCAAGAAAAGAAGGGACAAGAAGGGACAAGACAGAAAGTATAGCAAACGTATAGCCCTCCCCAGATCACATGTATGCATTGATTTATTAACTTGACAGATTGTACAGAGCTCCAACCATGAGCATGTACAAGGAGGAGGTAGAGTCCCAGCCTTCCAGGAGTTCATTTCTCTCTCAGGCAAGCAATTGTAATTCTGTACTGAGTGGATTCTTTGCCATTGAGTGGATTCCAATTCCTGAAGAGTAAACAAACAAACCAAAAAGTAAGAAACCCATGGCCATCAAGTCGAGTCTGACTCACAGTGACCCTATATAGCTGCTTCTTTCTCCCTAGGTACACTTGGTGAAGTTGAACCTTTAGCAGCTCAATGCCTAACTCACAGAGCCACTAGGGCTCAGGGTGCTAACAGCACACACAGTAGGTCACACAGTCTAGTGGTTATAAATATGCTCTAGAACCTGACTGCTTGGTTTTTGCATTGCAACTTTGCCTCTACTTATTATGTGACCCTGAGCAAGTCACTTAACCTCTCTGTTCCTTAACTCATAGTGACCCTGTAAGACAGAGTAGAACTGCCCAGGGGTTTCTGAGGCTGTAAATCTAAAGAGGAGAAAGCCTCATTGTTCTCCTGTGGTGCAGCTGGCAGTTTCAAACTGCTGACCTTGCAGTTAGCAACCCAACATGTCAGAATCGATTTGATGGCAGTGAGTTTGATTTGGTTCCTTTCCAGTAAAATGAGGATAATAGTATTTATATCGTAGAATTGCTCTGAAGATTAAGCCAGTTACTGTCCAATCAATTCGAACTCATGGCATCCTTAGGTGTTACAGAATAGAAGTGTTCCATTGGAGATATATAGATAGATATAGATATAGATTAGATAGAGATAGAGATAGAGATAGAGATAGAGATAGATATGCCGGGAACATCTGCTTCTAAAGGCCACAGCCTTGAAACCGCCATGGAGCACAGTTCTTCTCTGACATGAATGAGGGGCTCCACCAAGTGGAATCCTTTGGTGGCATAGTGGTTACTCATTGGGCTGCTAACCACAAGGTCAGTAGTTTGAAACCAACTACTCCTGTAAAGCAGTGGTTCTCAACCTGTGGGTTGAGACCCCTTTGGGGGTCAAATGACCCTTTCACAGGGGTCGCCTGATTCATAATAGTAGCCAAATGACAGTTATGAAGTAGCAATGAACATAATTTTTTGGTTAGGGGTCACTACAACATAAGGAACTGTATTAAAGGGTCTGGGCGGTGTGAGGAAGGTTGAGAACCACTGCTGTAAAGAGTTGTAGTCTTGGAAACCCGCCGGGGCAGTTCGACTCTGCCCTATAGTAGCGTCACCATGAGTCGGCAATAACTTGCTGACAGTGAGTTTGGTTTGAGGTTTTAGTCATGATACTACCTTTTGTGATGTACTATAAATTCTAATCCCATTTTGGAGAGATTTATATGTTATGCGCATGAGACAGGATTAAGGTGGGATATCTTACTAGAGCAGTGGTTCTCAACCCTCCTAATGCCTCAACCCTTTAATACAGTTTCTCATATTGTGGTGACCCCAACCTTAGAATTATTTTCATTGCTACTTTGTAACTAATTTTGCTAGTTATGAATCATAATGTAAATATCTGATATGCAGGATGTACTTTCATTGTTACAAATTGAACATAATTAAAGCATAGTGATTAATCACAAAAACAATATGTAATTATATATTGTGAAATATCTATTTATAATGACAAATAAATGAAATTTTGTCTTGAAGCATGGTGTAGCATGGGTAACAGTCTTCACTCCAAGTACTCAT